CAAATGTGAGCCTTGATAATTTTTTCAAAGACTTTGCCAAGGATGGAGGTGAGACTGACTGGCCTATAGTTGCCTGGGTCCTCCTTCCTCCCCTTCTTGAAAATGGGGACCACACTGGCCCTTTTCCAGTCCTCCAGGACCTGGCCCGTGTGCCAAGAGTGTTCTATTATGTCTGTCCTCAGCCATTTCCAAAATTTTCCATAGAATTCCACCAGAAGTCCAACTTTTCCTGGCACCTTCCCTCTCTTGCAAGTTTTTAAGCAGTCCTCCACTTCTCTTTTAACATATTTATTAATGACTTGGATGAGAGGGTGGAAAGCTCAGTGATTAAGTTTTCAGATGATACCAAACTGTGGGAAAACATGGACACATCAGAGAATAGAGTAAAGATCCAGGATGACCTTGACAGACTGGATTTATGGGTGGAACAGAATCAGATAAGGTTTAACAGGGAGAAGTGCAAGGTTCTTCATCTGGGTAGGAAGACCCTTCACCATAACTACACGATGGATGGTAGTCCACTGGCTGCACAGCATCTGAACAGGACCTGGGGGTCACGATCGACTGGAAGATGAACATGAGCTGACAATGTTATGAGGTTGCCATAAGGGCAAATAGAGCTCTGGTGTGCATCAGCTGATGTGTTGCCAATTGATCGAGGGAGGTGCTCCTCTCTCTCTATTCGGCATTGATGAGGCCACAGCTGGAGAGCTGTAGTACTGTATACAGTTCTGGGCACCACACTTCAAGAAGGATGTGCATAAGCTTGAGAGGACTCCTGTCATGCACCCTCATTACCACCTAAGCTCTCCACGATCCTGTCCACATACTGTATTTATCATGTATATTCTCAACATATATAACTTTTTGTACATAATTCTCCAAACATTTCTCTATCCCCCTCATCTCAAGCATGTCCATGTACATTTGAATAATTATCATCCTTTCTCTTGTCTTTTTCCTGAAATAAAACTTATTTCCCTTTCAGTTCTCTCTCACCGACTTCTGCATACGTATTCCAAAAATAACCTTCCTCATAACCTTCTAAGCTCCAGTACAAAATTTCCTAAGACTTCCAGTTAGGAAAGGTGACCAGATTATTAAAATGTTCCACTTCAACATTCAAAACTTTGAACAATATTTTTTCTATAAATTCATATCTATTCATTGTCTGACTTCTGTTCTCCTTCCCCTATTACTACTGCTCTGTAACAGTAGTAAATTTCTTGCCCCTCCATCTCTCACTTTCTCTTTGCAAATCTGATTTATTCCTTTCACTAGTCTTCCTCTTCCCTTCAATCACTGTTCCATACCTTATTTCTTCCTCCTGACCTCCTCTCCTCTGCCTCCTTTCCTGGTCTTTCTGCCGCCTGGAGTTGCTTTCTTCAATAAGGCTTCCTCCAATAGAGCCTTCTCCAATACCACCAATCCCACCACACCTTTCTTTCCTATCTTCTTTTGTCCCTTTTTCCCTGCCTTTGTCCATCTTCCATCCGACTCTAGCTCTTCTCTTCCATTTGCCAATTTGCTTCTCATCTCGTGGTCTGCTTCCCCTCCATAAGTGTCACTCTCCTCTCCAAAACTGCCACCATTACTGTTCTGGACTCTGAAAACTCTTCCTCCTCCATTCCAGTGCTCCCCCAGTGTTGCTAGCATGAATCCAGGTAGTATACTGGGCTTCTGCCCAGCGACTACACTTGATCTTAGCCAAAGGTAGCCAAGAAGTTATTCTGTTGATTCTTTTTTTTTAATGAAACATTATTCATATTCCAAGCCAAATCGATTCCAAATCCATGAATCATTCAAAAACCATATATGGCACCATTACTGGCAAACATCCTCCACCCCCACCTGGGCCTTGAGATGTTTCTAAAACATTTAATGGGCATCTTACATGCAGGCCCAAGGCCAGAGGCATGGGGTTCAGATGCCCCCAAGTTTTGCTTGCCCTCAGTCATATGGCCATAGGAGCAAGCTAGGGAAGAGTCTCCTAGGTCCATAAAGTAGGCATAAAGCCAAGATCATCCCACTGGAAATGATAGTGGGAAGGTAAACTACATATTACCTCTGCCTAGGTACTAACTCATACTAGATCAGCAGTTATTCCCTGTCCCTGGGAAAAACACCATGGTGATCATGTTAGTTCCCCTGCTAGATAACAACAGGTCGTACAACCCATCTGAATAAGACGCATGCCAGTGCTGATTAAGTGCAATTCCCACCCCCCCCATCTCTGACACTTTTTCAAGTCATGGTGAGCCATGACATTGCACACAGTTCACCCAGAATCCCTCTGTCACACATTCTCTCAGCCTGGTGCATATGATTAACATGGCTCTGCCCTCCACAAGATGAAGCTCTACCAGAGGGCCTTGTGCCTCACCTTCACATAAAATTTTGGAGCATCCCAGGACTTGTGTTAAGAACACCCAGTTTTATTAGTGGGGGCTAATTAGCACATGGATCCTTTGTAGGAGCTGTCTGGAGTATACACACATACGAGCAGTGCTAAGCTGTGGGGTCACCATGGAGTGGGGGGGCAAAAGTAATTGTGCACTGAGAGAGGGAGCAACAGAGGGATGCTGGGTGAACTCTATGCAGTGTCGATTTGAACAGTGGTTTCCATTCAATTGTAAATATTTTTCAGCAAGCACCACACCTGTAGCTAATACTACATTTATTTCATATTCTAAGTTAAAGAAAAGGAAATGTGTAGAAACTTTTGACAAATTGGTAAATAATATTACAAGTTTAAAAAGACAATTTGAAACATAACAGGGTAACAATTAAAAAAGATGAGGCTTGTGTCTGAGTTTAATAATCACCCAGGGAGCTTTATTGTGGAGGATGCAGGTCTCTAACATTACAGTAAAGTAAATTAAAGGACTTCATTAAATGATCACCTACTTCAAAGGAATGAAATTAATCAAATAAACCATAGGAAATTCAGAAATTAATTTGGATCATAGCCTGCTTCATTTATTAAGTCAAGAAACAATTACATGGTGCTATTTTAGTCTTAGTAATTATCAAAAGTCAAGCTTCTCTGTTTTACTTGTTGAATTCTTACTTAATGTATACATATATTCAAGGTAAAAAGTGAGGCAAGAAACACCTGCTCTGTGATCCTGTATAAAGCTTTCATGGGTATATGAGAGCAAAGAAACTTTCTTTGACTTTATATGGAAACCTGAACATTACCAAATCAGAAACACATTAATGATGTACAGTCATTATTGAAACATATCTGGAAAATATTAAGTTTTATATGCTATGGTTTAACTGCAGTGTTTGGGGGGTTCTTTGTTTTTAAGGACTGGGAGAAATGGCACAGTATCAGTCCGAGCTCTGGATGGTCCCAAAGCCAGCATTGTGCCGAACACTGTCAGTGAAATCTCTCCACCTGGTTATACTATTCTGGATGTAGATGCAAATGCCATGCTGTTTGTTGGTGGGCTAACTGGAAAAATAAAGGTAAGGTGTTTGCTACCATTGGTGCATTAAATCTTAGGTTTTGATAATTACATGGGCTGCTGTTGTTATAGTTAAACATTTATTTTTAATAGCAACTGGGCCTCATGTGGCTAAGTATTGTATTAATTCATAATACGGCTGAGCTCCTAAAACAGCACTGTTCTTGGTAACAGTGTGTGTTCCTCCCAGATACCCAGCTTCTTTAGTTCTCTCTCCTACTCTGTCTCTTCCCTTCAGTATGCCTGTTTCCTTTATGTTTCTTTTTCATCATTTTGGATGCTGGCAGGTACCTGTTCTTTCTGCTGATTCATATAACTCAGGTGCGGGCAATTATTTTGGACGGAGGGTGGCTTACCGAGTTTTAGCAAACTGTTGAGGGCTGCATGGGTAGCCCCGCCCCTTGACAGGTGCCCCACTCCCTGGTCTCCATCCTGTGACCAGAAGTCCCATGCCCTAACCCCTGACCTTTGCCACCCGAAGTCCCTTCCCCCAAAAGTACTCCTTTCAGCAAGGGGTTTTGCCATCTTGGAACCAGAAAAATACCAAATTATATTCTAAAAAGCAAACATCTACAGCATTCATTAATTTGATTTCAAAAAATATTTTTGTCCTGATTTACATGTGTTTGTGTAGTGTACACAGAGGTGATTGCACAGAGACAATATCTTAAAATGAAGTTTTACTCTTGTATATCATGGGGGGTGCATATTGGTTTGTGGGAGGCTGTGGGTTTGAGAGTATGTGGGGTGTGAGTGGGTATGGGGTTTGTGGGGGGAAAGTGTATGGGGGAGGGTGGCTCAGGTTATGAGGGGAGTGTGGGGGTCTGCATGTATGGCAGTGTGAGGCGGGGTGTGGGTGCATGTGTATGGTGGGGTATGCATGTTGGCCACACCTTATGAACACACACACAGACACACACACTGCCCCTGCCTGTATGCCTGCATGCACACACGCACACACATGCACACGCACACATATATACTAGCATGGCCCCGTGCTCCCCAGTCTGGCGATGCAGCTGGGAGCTACATGGCACCAGAGCAGGGCGGGGATAGAAGAGAGTGAAGTGGCTGGGGGTGGGATGGGGGTGAGCTGCTCAGTTCTGCTGAGGGCTCCCCCTGGGTCCTACTGCCCCTGGCTCCTGTCAGCTCTGACAGGCATTCAGGAGCATATAAATATTAATTTACTAATTTTTTTAGGGGCCCCACAGGCTGAATAAAGTGGCCTGGTGGGCTGCATTCAGCCCATGGGCTGTATTTTGCCTGCCCCTGATATAACTCCTCTTCTTTTGTCCACTAATACATTTTCCAAGCCCTGTTAGTTCAGCTTCACAGGTTATTCTCTCTTCTGGCTGGTTTATCCGTCCACCTGTCTCCTTTTTTGCTTCTCAACTTTTTTGCTTCTTTTTTGCTTCTTCATCCCCTACATCTGCCTTTGCTTCCTAACTCTTAGTCCTTTTTTGCCAGATACCATGAATCTGCTTCCCGCTTAATGCCTATCATTGACCTGTCCATCCAGATTTCATCACACTAGTGATAGACATCTTCAGTGGAGCATGGTTAGCTATAATACATATATGTTACAACACAGCTTATTATGATCCAGGGAGGTCTATAGCCATCCCTGTTTGCCATGTCCCCTGTGTTGGAGAGCAGGATACCCTGCAGGGTATCTTCAAGTGGAGACGGTGGACTCACACTCCTGCTTCTGCACTTGCAGACATGCACAGGGAAATCCCTATGCAAGGGATTCCCCCATGCATGCCTGCAAGTACAGAAAGGGGAACTCCCACTCCCCCCTTCACATTTGCAGGCATGCACATGGAGGTACCTCTTCAAGGAATTTCCCCACGTGCCTGCAATCGCAGAGTGGGGAAATTGCACAGTAGTAACCCCCACCCCCCTGCATTTGCAGATGGGAAAAGGGAAATCACCTGGAGAGAGATTCCTCTGGGTGCTGTATGGGGTATCTGTGTGCAAGCAGGAAATCCCTGCTTGCAGACACCCCACCCCACCCCCAACTTTCCCCTCTTACCCAGATACATCTTTGGAGGAACATGAGAAAGTGAGGCAGGCACTCCCAAGGCCTCCTAGGGTGTGCAAGACTGGGCACCTCAAGCCCATGGGGCCTCTGCTCCAGGGAGGCTGGAAACCCAAGGGTAGCTTTATATTTCCCAAAATATCCACCATAAGCAAACAGACATGGGCTGCAATAAAATGGCCTGATTTAATACTGCCTTCTGTCATGGCCACAAACTGAGCATTTGTGGCATGATTGAAAGTATGGACATCTGTTTGCTTTCACTTTGTGCCACCCTGAAAATGTTTACAGTAGACCTCTGTAATTTTTTACTCCTCTCTGTTGACTCTTCTTTCTGTTTACCTCCTATGGGCCTTCAGTCACTAGGCCTTCAGGACAGGGATTAATAAGAGAGATGTTAACATCATGATTTACGTTGTGCAAGAGATGTACAACATTGGCAGCTCTGAAGTTGCACTGTTAGTTATCTGGAGCTCAAAGGTTGTATTTAACTTATATGTGAATGTACTTGAAGTTTATTCTGACTAGACCCAATTTAAATATTTTCAACTGGAAATACTTCCTAAAAAGTGAAATAATATTTGACAGGACAATTTGACATTTTAATTTTTTTTTTCTTCAAAATGTTAGAAAGGAAAGGAAATGGAGCACTTTATTTCAGCAGCAAATTTTGAAATTGTCCATAGTGGTTTATAGACCTCTAAATGTATCTTTTGACTGTTTGGAACAAAAGCAAAACATTAAAATGTCAAAATTGCCAATTAACCAAAATTCCATTTATGAACAGCTCTAATAGGTGTAGGATGCAAACCTTTGCTATACTTTATTTTGTACAGAATGAATTAAGTTCACATAGTACTTTGTAGGATGCATGCCCACATAAACAAAGACACATATAAAGACAAAGGAAGGTTTAAAGGCTACAGATGGAGTATCTTTTGCAAATCTAGATTCCCTTTCCTTAAACCAATTGCTTAAAGTCCAGCTATAACTAAGAAAATATCCATAAACCCTATGGAAGATTTGTGGATCTGATTGTGGTTTTTAATTTGATCAGATCCATTGCTATGCATTTCTGTACAAGTGAGGTAATTAGCTACGTTAGTCTGAAGTCCAGAAGGTAGGGCAGGGTAGTACCATAAATCTTTGGCACATTTTCATTTAATGGTGCAATGGGATCTGATCCCCAGTCCCAACAATCATGCCTCCTGGCATGCCACAGATATGTGGCAGGAGGCACGGTTGTGGAATCAATGATCAGCTCCTAATTGTGCTATTACTACTTGCCAATGCAGGGGGAGGCCAGGTTCCTCCTGCACCAGTAAACTGAAGAGTGCCCATGAGTCCAGCTCAGCTAACAATCAGCTGATTGTCATTTGGCTTCTAGAATGCCACTGAGGACTCAAACTGGTTTCAGTGCAGTCTGGGCTCAGGCTGACAATCAGCTGATTGTTGGCCTCAGCTGGGACAGCCCCAACTCTGGTTCCAGATGGAGGCTGTCCCAGCAGGGCTGAAAATTGTCAAAACCCTACACCCAGCAGCTTTGACTGGGCTGCTGGGTGCAGGGGATCACTGCAAGAATATGAAGAGAGCTGAAGGGCTTCTGCCACTGGGTACTTTAAACTCTGCCAGGAACCTTGATACCCCTGTATGTAGGAATTCAAATTCACTGAAAAAATTGGGTGGGGGGAGGGGGGGGACGGGACTTGCAGGAATAAACAGTAGTCTTTGTTTCCCTTCTGTTCCCCTGCTACCCTGGCAACTGTGAACTGTAGGTCTATCTCAGTCTCTACCTTCCTGCTTTCCTAGCCAGGACAAAGACATTTGCTTCTCCTGTGAACCATAAACAAGAGTCCTTACAGGGAAACAGCTGAAAATAACAATCTGTCAGCTGCTGAAAGTACAGATGTTGCTTCAAACTTGAAGAGGGTACTGAGCCTTCCAAAGCCAGATCCAGAATGAGTCCTTCCCAGCCACCAGTCCTTGGGCCTTTGTCAGATCATATTGGCTATGGAGAACAACAGCTCACTGTCTTATCCAAGCCATCTCTTTCTTATACTGTGGATCTTCAGGAAGTATAAGAGTGTGTGATATCTGATGATGTTCTAGAGTCATGTACTAACTGACAGTACATGATACAGTACTTTTCTAATCTCTGTTTTCAATGGAATTCAACCAAGTGGGATAAACAGGTTAACAAGGATATTTCTGCTATAATATTCAACAAAAAATACTCTTTGTTGGGCTTCAAAGTAAATACTACATTGAGATCAATGAGGGTAGTTCATAGCTTTCAAAGCTGAATAACTAGCTAAGATCCTGATTCAGGTAATCATTTAATCATGTGCTTGAGTCCTTCCTATTCAGAAAAGCATTTAAGAGCTTAGCTTTATGCATTTATTTAAATCCCATTGATTTAATGGGAATTTTATCATCTGTTTAAATTTCAGGGTTCTTTATTGAATACTTTAAAAAAATAATCTAACATTTACATTCTTGCAAATCTTGAAAATCACTGAGCTTTAAAAAGCCACTTGCCAGGCCTCATTAGGCCTGTTGGCCACGAGTAGTTCACCCTAAAGTGAAAAGGGAGGGAAGCATCAGGGCAAAATTAAAAACTAAAATTTATTATTTTGATTTTAATTCATTTCAGATTTCCTTTTTGAGTTAAATCAAGTGAATCAAGCACAAAATGTAGCAAATACCTGTTCATTTTGTATTTACACAACTCTAAAGCTTTAACATGTCCCCACAAATATTTTAGCCTAAAGTTGGTGGGGAAATGTTACTCTGGGACTGAACCTTCGATTTAAATACTAGCTTGAAACAAATTTTTATGTCTGAATTAGGAAGTATAAAGATTTTGGGGGTAGTTGTGGCAATACTGCAACAGCCTTCACTGCAGCTATGTTAAAGCAAAAATCACTGCCATTGTGAAAATATGCCATTAAAAAGGAGTTCATTACACTGAATAATATTTGTGTGTGGTGTTAACTTCTGAGAAATCCTTTAAAATTGTATAGGTCTTTCTTTAAACAAATTTAAAAGTTATAAATCTCAGAGAACTGATATTCATTTTATTACCTACAATTTTTTAATGGGATCTATTGACCGCAATATTCTGAGCAGTATTTCCCCAGGATGTCTATTGTTATTCAATATTCCAACCAGAATATGATACTTAATAATTGCAGTTGCATTTTCAACTTATCAACACAACAGGCTTAAATAATCATATATCAAATCATTACCTTCCTCAATATAAATTTTGATTTAATTTACAGTGGGTATAGCTACATTTGCGCTTTACTGCAGAGTTGACTAATTAACTATGCATAAAGCATCACATTCTACACATGCATTGGTATTAGGGCATAGTAATTAATTAACTCTGCCATAGGATTGTGGACAATACCATTGTGGACAATATTATCCTATGGCAGAGTAATTTACTCTGCCAAAATGCATGTGTAGATGGTGACAGGGACTAGCTGGGGCACAAGGATGCTAAAGTGTGAGGGCTGACTGCCACCCAATCTTGCACTGTAGCACCCTAATGCCCTTGCCAGGCCCTCCACCACCCAACGCCACTACCCAGAGCCCAAGGCTGACCCTTGTGAGCCCTCATCTGTTCCACCCCAGCTCAAAGTGCTGTAGTCCCAGGCACATGTGTAAATGCTATACCCAGGAGCGGTTGACTCCAGCACAAACTACACCAGAGTTTATTTTGTCACATTAATAGCACATGTAGATGCACCCGGTTTACTTTATAGATTTGCTTTATAATGAATTTTATTGTTAATGCTTGAATAACATTTCTATTACAACAGCATCCTTCTCCTTTAAAATGCAGTTTAACATTTTTGCTACATGAACAACTAACAGAAATAACTTACATGTGGAGCATCATAAACCAAAGATTAAAACAATTACAGTAGAATTACTGGGTAGAAAGAGGTGTCAACAGTGAATCAAGATTCTGACACTTAAAAGTGTTTTAAGTGGAAAGAATTACTGAGAAGGACGTGGGAAGGATACAATGAGGCAAATATACAGTGGAAGAAATTCAACAGTGAAACACATCCCCAGTTTCTAGCATGTGCTTAACTCTTCTGCTGAATTAGAGCAAGCCCCAACATGTCATGCACTAAAATACCAGCTTCCAATCAGAATGAAAATTCTGGAAAGGTTTTTGGGTTTTTTTTAAAAGAACCCATTTTATCAATAACCAACTAGGCTACCTGAAAATTGGTCCTTCACCCAGGCAGCCAGAATAAATGATTAACCAGCCTCATGTAACTGGTTAATTTTGAGAATCTGGGTTCTCAACATTTTTGATGCCTGTACTATGTTCTAGGAAATTCTGAGTTAAAAAAAAAACACGTTAAATTTGCTTCCTTCTCCTGAAATAAGTTTGGTGGTTACCATATGTGCAGTTGTTAAATGCACAAGATGAAGTCCTACAAAAACTCTTATCTTTTCACCGAGCAGCTTGTATAAAAAGCTGGATCTCCTTGGGCATTTAACAAGGTCAATGATACTTTAAAAAACACTTTCTGTCTCTCAGATCTACTGTTTCATTTCATTGGGTCACAGTCTGCGTGATCAGACGGAGTTGAAGCTTTGCCCTGGGATATAATACAAAATCCCTTTTTGTCTGTGCCTCTGCAGTTTTTTATTTTTTTTAAATGTTCCTTTTTGGTTTTAAAAAACATTTATCATTTTACTTGAGTAGAAGAATACGATGCTTAGACATCATGAAATTCTCAAAAGTGACATTAAGTTCATACTTGTTGCTAATTAAAACATTTACAATTACCTTGGGAAATATCACCAATGCATTAAATCTTTCAAGTCATACTCTTCTTCGAAAGTTTTCACGTTGCTCTTCTCTATATTCTTCAGGGTAATATTCTTAATATTCAGAGAAAACAGCAGGTGCTTGTGTGTCAGTTGCTAGGTTTGTAGATTTAAAATCAGCTCATATTGATGAAGTATAATTTAAAATGAAACTATATAATTCTAGAAGGATGAACAATTCTGTGCATTGTCAAATCACATGAGAAAGGCCCTAGGTAGTCTACGTAAACCTAGCTTAGTGGGTTTTGGTATGTGGGGGCTTAATTTGCTTGACCATCCCTATTTTTGCTAAATCTAAAATTGGGTTTTCCCCATGTTTTGCTAAGTGGGTTAACAGCCAGTCTTTCAGCTTAGAAAATGTTGGTTCAGTTTCCTGTCCTCCCCTTCCCAGGCCTTCAAGGACTACAAATACTGTAGAGACAACTTGTTTGTTTTATTACAGAGGAGATTGCATAGTTCCTGCCCTGATTAGCTAAGAAAAAACACTGATTGACTCCAAAAAAGGGCCTAGCCTTCCATAAGCGAAGGATGCTAGTTATCATAATGGTTGGGGAGGCAAACTGTGCAGTAAGACCATGGAGAGAACCCAAAAGCATCCTTCCTCTACCTTCTCCCCAGTCTCATAATCTGCCTTCCCGTACTACTACAAGCTTTCCAGTTCTTTAAAAGGGTTTGTCAGACAAGAATGATGTTTCATTAAAAACCCCCAGTCACTTTCAGTATTTGTCATGTCCATTCCACATTATGTTTTAAAGATAATGGATGACTTCAAACTACATTCTAACTAGCTCCATAATTTCCTATTTGCAGAAGTCAGATGCTGTAAGAATCACTACCTTCAATGGCTGTATGGGTGAAACATACTTGGACAGCAAGCCCATAGGACTGTGGAATTTCAGGGAAACCGAAGGTGACTGTAAAGGATGTGCTGTCAGGTTAGTAATGAAATGGCTGCTTCTTATGCTTTTCACTCTTCTTTATAAACTGTTTGTGACAATGCACATTAATGTTGTGGAGCAAGTAATACAAAGATCTACAACAGCCCAAAACAAGCCTTGTAAGTTTCATTAGTACAGTGCACAAAATTCATAAAATTAAAGGGATTATTAAAAATTATGTTAAAAGAATGCCAAAAGAGATACTGTCTAATCCATTTAAAGAATAAGGTTGGCCATACCTTAATGGATTCTAGACAAATGGGGAGAGTACTGTGGCCTGAGGCTTTGTTGCAAAACACACTTAAATTGCAGGAAAATTCCTACTGACTTCAATGGGCTTTGGATCAGGCCAAAAGGAAAGTAAGGGCTAGAGTCTAGATTCACAAAAGGGACTTCAGCATTGGAAATGCTGTCTGCCCCCTAAAATGGAATCTGTGACCCTGGGTTATATGCATAAGCTCAGTGTATGGACAGTTAAACACTCTCTGATTGGTATTTCCTCATGAGAGCTAATACATAGGCCCCCTCTACACATGCAGGTATGATGGGATCTAAAGCACACATGCATGGCAGGACGTGCAATTGTGGATTGCACCTTAGATCCCATTGCACCTCTTGCCGGTACAGGGGGATCTTGATCCCAGGCTCCCCCTGCACTGGCAAGAAGCAAATTCCTGCAGCTGGGATCTCCACACACCCTAGTTGAGGGACTCCCAGCCATGGGGGCACCCATGCCCCCTAGAGCAAGGTATCACCACCGCAATGATCTCCCCACCCCAATAGTGCATGAAACATCCATGGTGGGAGGATCACCACAGGGGCGAATTAAACTATAAAGTTAGTGTACATTTTCAAGGTGTAATGTTACAGCTGGTTGGAGCTTTTTATTGTGATAAGTATTTTGCATGTGTAATTGGTTTCAAGGTAATTGTGTAATTAACCAGTTAATTATGTGATACATGTAACATGTAGAGGGGGTTATAGACTCACCTAGGCTAGCCAACAGGAAATGCTGAACATAAGATGGACCTTCAATCCCACATTTCTTGGGACCTTATGTGCCTAACTCCAGGGCCATGAAAAGGGCCCGTGGTAGCAATCCCTTTTATCCTATCATTCAGGGGCCAGAGCATTTTCCCAGGAAGTGAGAGACCTAGGTTCAGTATTCACAAGGCCAAAGAAAAGAGACCAGGACTTTCTAGCTCAGTGATTAGGTCACTCTCCTGCAAACAGGGAAGCTCTAAGCACTAGTTGTAGATTTTATCCCTGACTATTTCATTTTAAACCCTTAAATAACCTTTGGACCAGACACTTTCCAGAAGGAAGGTCTTGTGATTGGACTCACCCTAACAGTCTTGAGCTCCAATAGGTCATTTTTCCTTATATCGCAACATTTGTGGGATCTAGGATGATGGATGGGCTCTGTGCATGTCTTCTATATATTCCTCCTTTCTTGATGGGGTGTCAGCCTTCCCATTGTGGAAACCTGATATATTACAAAATTGAATCTAGAAAATAGCAAGAACTAGCAGGCCTGTTGTTAGTCAAGGCTCCTTGCTGAGCAGAGATACTTGAGATTCCTGTGGTTAGTGAGGACATGTACTGGGTGTCATGTTCCCTCCAAGCAGGAGAGTCATGCTGTCTCTTTTTGATTGAATAAGTCTTCAATTCTTTTTGGGGACACTTTCAAAAAAAAGTTGGAAGTGCACCACCCAGAATAGTCTATAGCTTAGCAAATAGAGTATTCTCCTAGAAGGAAAATATGTGAATTTGAGACCCTTAAGGCTGAGGGGGTCATTGAACTTTGATCCTTCCACATCCCTGGTACATGTACTGATCTCTGAGGTATTGAAAAAAGGTGGAGTATCACCTTATCTGGCTGTTTTTCCATGATTAAAATGAGCTGTCTGTCGTTGTACATTTCGTGGTTTGTATCAGTTTCCTGATATTCCCCCTAGAACATCTCTGTTTAGTATTTCATGGGCTGTGTTTAAGGTTCAGGGGTCAAAATTGTGTTAGTATAAAAACAAACTCTCTTCAGATTCCTTTTTCACATGCAGAAATAGGGAAAACTGGTTGGAAGCTGAGGAATTTCCTTCTTTTCTAGCCCACAGGTGGCAGACAGTGAGGGAACAGTTCAGTTCGATGGAGATGGTTACGCTATGGTGAGCCGTCCAATCCGCTGGAATCCCAATGTCTCCATGGTCATGTTCAAATTCAAGACCTTCTCTTCTAGTGCTCTGCTGATGTACCTTGCCACACAGGACTTGGTAAAAAAAAATGAAAAAACAAGCAAACAAAAAACCCCTTCTCATCAGGTTTCACTCTTATTTTGCAATTGCTGAATTCCTAGGACAGCACATTTCTTTTAAATGCATATCCTCCAGCCTGAAAAGGGTATGCACTAACCCAGAGTATATGCTTACCCTTACTTAGTGAATACATACACTCATTAACTAGAGAATAGCTTGCTGTCAACTGCTGTCAGTACTGTCATACTAGCATCTCGGCAACTAGCCAGTCCTGTCATTTTCAAGGCTTCTAATGCCGGCGCTCTGAGACCTGCTAAGCCCTTCACCATTTTTGCTATCGATTATTATGCTCAGATTACAAACTAGATAGCAGAGCTGAAGATGCTGTCCACTAAAGAGGTTTATGTATTCAATTAATATGAAGATAACCAGTGTTCATTAATAATGTAAGCATGAGGCAAACACTTAGCTTCCTTAGTTGCAGAACACAATAGAAATCTATGGTCTTATCTGATATGTATACAAGTGGAAGTGACGGGGCTCACAAGAAGAACTGAAAGTTTTTTTTAAAAGTGTCTCCTTCTAAGATGCTGGTTGATTCTTCAGTGATGGAAGAGGGTTTTGTGGCACAGGAGCTGAGGAGTCTGAAGTGACTGGTACATGACACCAGAAGTATTCTAATCAAATGACCTAAGTTTGGGTATGTGAGTGAGGGGAGTTGTGGAGTGTACATATTTAAATTCATCCTCACCCAGCTGAAGTGAACAGGAGTTTTATCACTGACTTCAATGAGGCCTAGATCCTCCCCAAGTTTCCAATGGTACAAATTACCAAAATCATGCCTGGGAAATGATAGATACATCTAAGGACCATACTAGAGGACAAAAGAAGTGGTGGAAAAAATAAAGTAATAATTAAGAAAGTGTTTGTGCCTAATACAACTGGCAGGACAGGTGCCAGGGTTATGACCATGGTGGGGGTGGTCACCCTGGGGCTTGATACTAAAGATTCATACTAAAGCTAGGGAATCAGGAGCAGGCAAGGTCATGAAGCCCGAGTCCCAACAAAGCCAAAAGACAGGAGAGCTGGAGCAGACTAGGTAAGAAATAAGAAGAAGGGGTCCAGACTGAATCCACAAGACAGGTCATCAGGGACACTGGCTGGAGTCTGGAACTAGGAACCAATGGGCAGAAACCAAAAACAAAGATTCAGACAGGAGCTAGACAGAGGCATTTGTCCTGCTGAGTAGCTCTCTGGGCACTGAGGCACTAACAAGCCTGCCTGCTGCTCTGACTTCTGGCAGTAACCTTCTCCCTATAGCTCATTTCAGGACCAGGATTGTCAGAATTCAGGTTTTAAAGTTTCCAAGATTCTGAGGACATGACCAAGCCCAGCTTTTGAGGCCCTGGGGTCACAGGCATAGAAAGCCTTGCATGGCTCTGGGGTAACAGATGAGGAGAGCCTATGATGCTCTTGGGGTGCTCCTCAACAGTAAGGCTGGAACTAGGATGTAACTAGTTATTGTGGAGCTTGAAACTAGAGTTTCATGAGCCAGGCAATCAGGAGCAGGCACCATAAGGAGACAGTAATAACACAGCTGGGGGATCAGGAGTGGTTAAGACAAGGAGCCAGCAGCAGGGGTCCAGGCTGGGTTCATGCAGGTAACTAGGGCTAATTACCCTGCCTGCTGCCCTGCATCTTGACAATAGAGAAACTAAGAGTCAGTCAACAACATGTGACAGTGATACTTATAAAGAAGAAGAAGAAAATTGCAATTAGGTTTATCATGCCACAGTGGTACTTGGTCATTTTAGACATGGCAGAATGGTTCATAAAATAATCTCCCTCTGAAAATGTGGTCTCACAGTAGGAAACAATCATTGAGAATCCCTGCCCTAGTGATTTGGGAATAGACATGAGTAAGTATCTGCAGTTCAGGTTTTATCAAATGTTCCCATTTCTCCTCTCCCAAAATTGAGTATGTATATAAATATAATCACTCTCACACTTTTGCTTAATCCAAGTATTGTTCATGTTTCACCACTCCAAACATTTCTTTTAACTGTAGAAAGCAGAATAAAAAGCCTCGGTCTTACAGAACAGTCTATGAACAAGACAGACTTAAACTTTTCAGAAGCACTAATGCCCCTGAAGTGGTAATCTCCCATTTCTTAAATCCTGTCTTTCACAGATCCCTGACTCCCTAATAGGTTAACAATTCTGCTAGCCACTGTCTGCCCCAGCTTTTGTAGTTCATTATACTACAGCTCCAGTCAGCCACCAGTACTTGCAATTTAGACATCAACACCCGAGGTTGACTAGAATTACAGCAAATTGCACTGCACTGTGCTATCTCGGGGACATTACCTGTTAGAATCCATACCACCTCTTTTCTGCTATAGCTCACCAGGCTCAGTAAATTAAAGTTGGCTCAGACATGTCTATCCACACTGCAATCATATTTCCTGATTGCAGTTCAGGAGTACCCTCAAAGATGAGTGTAGTTTTCAGATAATTGTAGGCTATAGCCTGTCCTTCAGCCTGACAAGACAAATATAAAGGACAACCCACCAGTTTAGTAAGTGACCTGCCTGAGAAGGTAGGTAGTGAAGCAACTCACTGACAGCCCACTTCAGAGTATTGCAGTTACAGACATCAAACGCCCGAGTAGTTTCACATGTTTAAAATATACCTTTATAGTGTCACTCAAAAAAATGAAACGATTGCTTAATGTCAAATATTGCTTATCAGAACAGAAATCAACATTCAGCATGTCTAAACCATGCGTCTAATCTGTCTCATTAACAGAAAGATTTCATGAGTGTAGAGCTCAGTGATGGGCGCATAAAAGTTAGCTATGACCTGGGTTCAGGTACAGCTTCTGCTATCAGCAACCAAAAGCACAATGATGGGAAATGGAAATCATTCACCTTGTCAAGAATTCAAAAACAAGGTGAGTTCTTATAGTGATAACACCATAAGTTTCCTAATTACCCTACCAAGCACAGCTAACCATCTAATCACTGTGAAGATGATGTATAAAATTGCCAGGTTTAAAAAGTTCTGTAAGAAAGTGATTTAGCAACTTCTTTTGCTTAGATTACAGGTGGCTTAGGTGAGATGTGCCTGATTGCAGTGTCAAACAGGTCTTTTACGATTTTCTTTTGAAACCAGTAGCTTAATTTCCAGGCATAATTCTGCTTTGCAGCTTGCTAAATTACTTTCGAAAATACATTTGAGTGAAAAAGGTTTTTGTGGTTTTTTTCCAAACAGTACCCTGATCTTGTTCAAAGTTCATTTAAAAAAAAAAGCCCACATGATTTCTGTTAGAGAAGGAGTTGGTTTTATGCTGTACCCCACCTTTCATAACCTGAGTATCCCACACTACTTTAAAAAGTAATGAGTTAAATGCTGGCAGTGCAGTACCTGGGTAGACAAACACAGCAACCATAAAATATTCATTTGCAGTGTATCATACACTGAGACTGAACCTAGATTACAAAGGTTAGGAATGTTTTTAAAAAATGCTGTTGTGTCTTTAACCTTTAATTTTATAAAATATAAACCTAAGAAGGGACCGCAGAGTGCTAAGGAGGAAGTAAGCCTATATATCCACTCTGTTTTGGCCTTTGATGAAACTGCTGAGCCTTCTAACAGTTGTGGAAATTATTTTTTAAGAGCTGCTTGGTTTGTTTGTGTGATGTAAACTGAAATAATCAAAAAAATATGCTTGTGATGCTGAACAGAAATCATATGTTAAAGAGCTTGCTTATGGCTGAACTGGGTTGGATTGAAACCAACAATCTGGAGCTTCTATGATCTGTCCCATCTTGATTTTGTCTGGCACTCTTTACTGAATAAAGTACTGACACTGAGAACAAACCAAATTGGATTGGGGATAAAATATATTTTAAAATACCTGGGATTGTTTTGACAAGGTTCCTTGGGTGAATTTGATATCTTTTATTAGACCAACCCAAATAGTTGGAGAAAAGTTATTAATCAAGCTTTCGGGTTCAAAAACCCTTCGTCAGGCTAAGGAAGTTTCAGCAGTTGGTGTGTGCTCTTCCTGGATGGAATGAAAAGGGATTGTTTTGGCATTTTAGCAACAGAGAAAAAGGTGGGGCTCCTTCTAGTAGCCAGTCCCTCACTGCCCAAATAATTGATAATTTGTAAGTCAATGTCAGTCATTCCGAAAGATGATTCTTCTGAGTTTTTCACAGAGCAAATTAGAACGGTATTGTTTAAGATTGTTTTAAAAACTTTCACCAATTGGTTTTCCAGCCAACATATCAATTGTAGACCTAGACACGAATCAGGAAGAGACCATAGCCACTATTTCAACAGGAAGCCACTTTGGACTTAACTTGAAAGCAGATGAGAAAATATATTTTGGTGGATTGCCAACACTGAGAAACCTGAGGTAAGGGGGGTGAAAATAACATCTTTGCCTATGGCAAGAAAGGGGAGAAAATATAATTTTATTCTTTATGCTTATTTATTCTCAGTTCACTTGCAATGAGAAAATGGTAAATTCTATTTAAATTGAAGGACTAAAGGCACCAAGCACTGATGCTCTTGACCGATAACAACCTCTCTAAGTGCCATTGCATTCCTTAAGTTATCTTAAGTTGTTCACTGCTTCAATCAAATACAGCATGAGCCAGGAAAATAGCCTCCTGTTTCTGTGTAGAATGACAATAATGTAGCTGAGCTTTTCTTAGTGCTTTCCTTTCTTTCCGAGAGGAATGCTATTTGCAGCTCAAAACTTGTATGACCAAACTGAGGTCTTGTCCTGCATTGACCTAAACATGTATTTAAAGTTACGCATGGGTAGTCCTACTGAAGTTGAGTATTGCTTATGAGTAAGCCTTTGCAGAATCCAGACTACTATCAGCATTTATGTAAAACATATTTCAGCCTGTAGTTACTTTGAAATCCATTTGAGGACAAAAGTTCTAGTTTTGAACTCTTACTCAAAACTTTCATTGTGTTCAGGAATTATTAGGAATATACTTAAAATATCATATAATATGCTTTATATATACTGAACCTTGGTTATATTTTTTTCTGAAGATCAAATATTCAACTGCTTACTCCAGCAAAGCTGTTCCTGTAAATAGTATTATGTATCAGAGAGATCATATTATTTTCAATATGCTTTAATATTTGATAGTTGAAAAAATATATGCTGGAATGCAATAGGTGCTTTTCAGGGCTGTTGGGTGTAGCCATGTTGGTCTAAGATCACAGGCATAGGTGCTTTTAAATACCCTGAAAAACCCTTCTGAAGTTAAAATAAACACTCAGCAATTATTCAGGGGAAAGGACCTCTCTGTGTCTCAATGAGCAGATGAACTATAACAAAACCAAGACTATTAGTCAATGTTAGCTTCATCTACATGTCATAATGACATTCTTAACATCTCCTTGTGCATAACAAAGCCTATCTGTGGATCAGTGGGATGCGTCACATCAAAAGGGAAAACAGGCATATTTGCTAATTTACTAGTTAGTTAATTTTCATTTATTATACCTCTGATGTCAGTTTATGCTCTAATAAAAGGACCCAAGCTGTTTCACTCATGAAATACCACGTTATATTATGCAATATGCAGCGGTGTCTGCCAAAGTATGTGGAGAAATTATTCGTACACATATCGTTTTGTCGTTGCTTAGGAAACCAAGTACAGCAGAGCAGAACTCATGAAACTGTGATAGACAAGGTTCTTTGGGTAAATGCAATATCTTTTATTAGATCAACTAAATAGCTGGAAAAATTGTTCTTTGCAAGCTTTTAGGCACAAACACCCTTCTTCAGGCATAGGGAGAGTCTGGTGGTGTTTTGTGTGCTCTCCTGGGTGGAATGGAAGCCAATATGCAAAATGGAGGTCTGTGAAAATGCAAATGCATGGCAGAGAGGATCAGAGGGAATGGGAAACTATAGGTGTAAGACAGGTCGGTGTGGGGGCAAAGGGGAATGTTGAGCTCCTGCTAGAATGTAGCCGGTAAAATGCAGACAGGTTACCTGGGGTTATCAGATGACAGGCAGCTTACAATGTGCCATTCATAAAACACCGAACTTCACCAACCTCTTCATCAGAAGCAAACTTCCAAATGAATCCAGACCATGGCAGGACAAGAAGTATAAAACCTGCCAACACATCTCCACCACTCCCACAATAACTATTCCCTACAACGGAACCATCACCATTCCTGGATCTTACACCTGCACCTCCATAAATGTTATGTATCTCATCCAGTGCACCAAATGCCCTGATGGAAAATATGTAGGAGAAACCAGACAACAACTGGGCACCAGAATGAACGCACACTAGAAATCTATCAAAGGCAAGAATACGCAATTACTGGTGGGTGCACACTTCTCACAAGACACCACTCTCTCTCCAGTCTCTCAGTTCTAATCCTCAAAGGGAATGTACACAACACCTTTTGTAGATGAGCCTACAAATTTCACTTCAACAATCTACTGGACACAAAAAATCATGGACTAAATATAGACATTGGATTTATGGCACATTATAACCCGACTTAACCCCAGGTAAACTGTCTGCATTTTACCAGCTACATGTTATCACCAGCTCAACCTTCCCCCTACCCCCCCCCCATCCCTGCAACTTACCTGTCTCACACCTGTTGTCTCCCATTCCCTCATCCTCACTGCCATCCATTTGCATTTTCACAGACCTGCATTTTGCATATTGACTTCTATTCTTTCCAGGAGAGCACACAAAACACCATCAGATTCTCCCTATGCCTGAAAAAGGTGTTTGTGCCCAAAAACTTGCAAAGAACATTTTTTTCCAATTATTTAGTTGGTCTAATAAAAGATATCACATTTACCCAACGAACTTTGTCTGCCTACGTCCTTAGACCAACATGGCTACAACCAAAAACCCTAAAGCATGACACTGTAGTAAACATTTTGCTTACAGCTATGATTAATCTGTCATGACTTGGTGCAAGATGCATATTACAGGAAATCCTTACCAAAGAGAGAGTTTGAGCTGCTGCAGGCAGAAGACATTGCAGTACCTGTGACTTTGTAAATGCGCCAGACTGAGTGCTAGTCCCAGACCCATCTCTTGCCAATTTCTTTGATATGATTTTCTCTTACTCATGACATATTGTAGCAAAAAATAATAAGAGCTTATTGATCTAAATTAAATTTTAAGGCAGACTTTTGGGAGGGGGGGTGACACTGTTAATTATTCTAGCCTGACAATGTCTGGGGCATATGTATACAAATTAAAAGAATCTCACTACCCCAACATCTGTTTCCACTTGAGTTATCTAAAATCTGTTTCAATCTGAAATGTTCTGAATCTTGATAAGGAATGCTATTTGCTACAATGAATATAATTAAAAGTAATGTTATTTTGTCTTTCTTTTTTATCCTAGTATGAAAGCAAGGTAAAGATAATTAATTATCTGCATGACTTGCATGAGTTAAGTGCAGCTTGGATCAAGAAGCAGCGTGTGGGTACTATCTATACCAGCTGTTACCCTGGGGCTGTTAATTCAGCAAGTGGCTCCTGCTGCAACAAGCAAAGCTACTCCTAAGTGCTTAACGCTGTCATGCTGCGTGCTGTGCACACACCTCCAGAAACAACTTTCTAGCTTCTTTACACAGCTGCTTATTTCTGCTGTGTTATATTTTTTTCTTATTATATTGGAGTCCTGCAGAAACAAAACAGGGTGCCGGCCATGTTTAAAAGTTCACGTCCACTCTCCACTCTACATAAAGGCAGTATAGTTCCACGGGGTCAGGGGCCTCCATGCAGGGACTGCTGCAGCATTCATTTCTGAATGCAGCAGGGACGGTAGATACATATCTGTGTGGAACTTGCCAGCTTGGGTTTAAGGGTGGGGAATTTACACCTTTTGGGTTGGTTTCAACCCACCTGTTTCCTTTTGGCTTGGTTTGTGTTTCTGAATTTACTTTGGGCTATCCCAAACTTCCACCTTAACAGAAAAAAGAAAAAAAGAAAAGCAAAGATGTGAACCTCAGGAAATAGCTGGATGAAATTTCACCTTGTTGGGGAATTCATACAACTACAAAACCAGGGAACCAAGGAGATGAGTCACATATTCCATAGCCTACAGTTAGGAGTTGTAGGATGAGAAATGCAAATTTTTGAAACCAGACATAGTAGTGTAAAAGGTGGGGTGGGGGAAAGTGGGGAATGTTCTGTGGAAGGCAGAGACTATCCACCATATGATCATTTGTGCAGTGTGGCTGTATTGGTCAACTGAAAGCAATAGCTGGGAGTGAAATAGCAAAACAGCTCTGCTACCAGGGAGATCAATCTATAAAGAAGCAGTAAAAAAAAAAAAAGGGGGGGGGGAGGAAAAGATTTGAAAGTGAAAGGCAAGTATAACCAGATGGATACAAATAAAGCACAGGGAGAGTGATCTTAGTAAATCAGATGCTTACTTGAACTTGGATAAAGGATGCAAAATTGTCAGAAACTATGCTGTGCTTGCTGAGATGGCTATAATGCAAAGAAGAATGGCTTTCATTTCCAAAACGTACAGTTGCAAATCATCTGTGTTAAACCATGTCATTCTTTAATTAACATCCTTGAAAACCATTCAAACTGATCTTCCAGGGTGCTGAATCTTAGTTCCTTTGATACTTTTGGAATATTTTTTTCTTTTGTTTGGGTGGTCAGATTGTCCGTATGTTCCATGAGGAATGTGTGATCATCTACAATGGCTGTAATAATATGTATTGGTGAATTAACTACAAGTACTGTTGCTCCTTTTGGATTGTTACTTAAAAGGCTTCTATTTACAGTTGAAGTGGAGTTCATGGAACATTTTTTTCCCTGTCAAATTGGTGGCAAATGAATATAATAAAGTACAAACTTAGCCTCAATTCTTGGGACTTGATTTAGTGACCTCAGAACAGAAGGATCTATAACCAGCATGCTGGTTATAGTGGAATTCTCAGGGCTTTTGTCATCTTGCCTGTCATTGAAATGCCATATAAACTATAACATAGGTGTTCTGCAATTACTTTAGAATACTCTTCCCGTATTGGGTATATAATTAGGTTCCAGATCACAACCCAAGTGCTTTGTTTTCTTTGACTTTTCAGGAAAGGATAGTGCAGCTGAAATATGCCACAGCTTTTATAGAATGGTGTTTAAAAATAAAAATGAGGAATAGTTAAGGAATGAATCTCAGCCGATGTGAACATGATGGGCTCCCAAAACAAGAAAAACTATTTTATCAGAAAAAATATCCAGGACTCAGAATGAAATATTCTTGCAGTTTTTGGCAAATATTTCATCCTAAACATCTGCAGTTATGAAAGTCCCTCTTTCATCAAGATCTAGTGTGCATACAGATGACAGAAACATTTGTCTTCCAGTCAAGGTCTTTCCTTGTTGTTATGATTTCACAGCCTGCATCTTTCTGCCTTGCCTAGAGAACAACTACCTACTTATTTCATAGTTCACTGTGTTTAAACACAAAAGGTGACAGCATTCCTTAAAAAAGTAGAAAAAAAAGGACTGTTCTCACTGGAGATGAGATGAATATCCCTTTACACCTTTGATGAATGATGGAAGACAGAATGCACTGTGAGTTGATGGATGATGAAAGGCAGAACGTATCAATGTGTGCATGCACCCATTTAAAAAACTACAACAAAGTATCTCTGGGACCATGAATGCACATATGTGTATATGTGTGGGTGCATGTGTACCTGCTTAAGAAAGTCTATGGATTTGTCTAGGAAAAATGTTGCATTTGATTTTAATATTGTTTTTGCAGGCCTGAAGTGAATTTAAAGAAATATTCTGGTTGCCTCAGAGATATTGAAATTTCACGAACACCATATAATATACTAAGCAGCCCTGATTTTGTAGGCATAATCAAAGGCTGCACACTGGAGGTAAGTCCATCTCATATATGCTTTGGCCTCAAAGGGTAAAAATATTGTCTGGCGTGGCTAATAGAATTACATTAACCATATACTTCAGAAATGGTGGGATTTTGAAAAGCACTAACTTAGCTTTTGCTCCAATTTACACAAGTCAGTGGGAGTCATTCATTGATTTTAATGACAACGGGGTCAGGACAATTAGGAGCATGTTTTGAAAAGCCCAGATGTAATTATGTAAATTCTGGTATTCATATATAATGGTTATGACTTCATTAACTATAAAGGATCATGAAGTATGTCACAAACAGTAGTATTTATTGCATGTTCAGACTCCTGAGCGTAGGTTGAGAACCCTTTCAAAGTCCCCCATATAACAAACTGCATTAAAAATAATTGCGTCTATGTCCAGATAGTAAAAGCAGAGGGAGCAGTATAGACAGTAAATCTTCAATTGCCCTCTCTTCAGAGAGTAGGGTGACCCCAGTTTGGGGAAGGCTTGGACTGTTCCAATCCCCCTGTTCCTGGCGTGGACTGGAGCAATGGTGCAAAGCCCTTTGCCTACTTCTCTTACCAGGACTCCACTATAAGAAGGACATATGGGGCTCATGGCACTACACCCTGTGCTCAACTCCCAATGCCCAACAGCTAAGCAGACAGAGGAGCATGGTAAAGCCCCCTTCTTACTTCTCACAGCAGGGACTCCAGAATGAAAAACAGGTAGGGAACAGTTGGTAACTGTTCCTCACCTCCTCTAAAATGGGAGGGGAGGGAGCAGTTGTCCCTCATGTTTTCTCCACACTGGGATGACCCTGGTCTCTGGCAGGTATGGGAGTCTTTTCCCCTGGCTCCAGTCCTTCTGGTCCCTGGAGGAGTTAAGCCAGCAGAAAGTATATAGACATTCAGTCTTCCAGGAAAAACTCTGCTGGGAGTGATTTCTACCTCATATAGTCAGGTTATTTTTCTGCTGGAGTGGCCATTTTACTCCAAGAAAAAAAGCTGGAACTTCTGCATACTTGTGGTTTCTTCCTGGAGATTAGCAGTTCTCCTGGTAGAAACTGATTAACTGTACATGGCCATGTTAGATCCATACTACTATCTCGATAGTATAGATGAGGAGTCTTAGATACAAATAAGTTGTAAGGAACTGTATAGTATCTCAGAGCTATTTGTGGCAGATCTGACAATAAACCACACACATCTTGAATTGCAGCCATCTGCCCTTTTCTTCTGTTTCACAGAATAGAGGTATTTGAATGAATGAATGAATGAATGAATACTATAGGGTTCACAATGGCTATATAAATCAGATATTGAAGGAAGGGTCTCTTTTTTGGGACTGGTCACAAAAGTCAGTCTCCTGAAGGCTCACTGTGGATGCCAGGTTTTGTAGGCAGTGGGCATATCTATAAGAGACGTTTACTGCAGAGCTGACTAATTAGCTCCACAGTAAATGTCTCAGCCTCTACACATGTGCCCACATTAGGGTGCAGGAAACTAATAAACTCCCACAGCAGGGTAGTTCTTATAAATACCAGTACTAACCTGCTGCAGAGTTTTTTCATGCCCAGCGGTGGACATGTAGATGATGACCCAGCTGGCTGGGGCACATGAGTGCTTCAGTGCCAGGGTCCCATGCCAGCTGGATCTGCTGTGTTACTGGGCTCCATGTGCTGTGCTTGAATAAGCTCTTGAGTTGATTGCTTTGGAGTTGATTGTTCTTGGGCACACATTCAAATGGCATGTCCAGGAGCAAAACACTCTGGAGCAATAAACTCTAGAGTTTGTTCATGTGCACTAATTGCATGTGTAGCACTGCCTAGTGAATGCTATAAAAATGTCACTTGGCCATGGGACCTGCATCAAATTTTTGTGAACAATCCCTGACATTCATGTGCTACACTAGAATCCAAATCCTCTATCAGGCATGTCAGCTCTGTGCAAGTCTGTGACCCATCTAAGTCATCTCATCAAGATTTCAAACACAAGTTGTTGTTAGATTATTAATAGTAGTTATGGTGGTGATCATGATACAGGAAAATGCAGATCAGTTCCCCATAATAATGCTTTGCAGGTCATTTATTTTTAATAGCTACCCACTGAATTGACAGGCATATTATGTATAAATGTACATAATAATGGATAGATAAATATAAAATAAGTGATAGCATAAATGGGATAATTTGTTTTAATTGTAAGTATCAATTTGGGGCATAAGTGGTATAATTTGTTTTAATTGTAAGTATCAATTTGGTATCTTTAATTAAGTGAACAGGCTTTTAATATGTATGAGCTGAAAAAATATCAAATCCTAGGTTTGGGAGTGGGTTAATGCCTTAATTCTCCAGACAAAGGGAACATTCTCCCAACCTGAAAAAATTGCATAGAACATAGAAGAGCCCACAGTTAAATTTCTTTTCTCTGTGGGTGCAATTAGCACAATGCAATAAACTCCAGTGCAGTTCATGCTGGAATTTATTGCTCCCAGGCACTGCGTTTACGCATGCACTTGGGACCACAGCACATTGAGCCAGGTCAGAGCAGCCCCAGCTAGCAGGGGACCCAGGGGATCAGCCTGCCAGCCCATGGAGAGGCTGACTGGGGCACAAGGGTGCTCCAGTGCAGGGCGAACCAGCAGGCAGCCCCTGCATTGCAGCATCCTCATTCCCTACCAAGCCCAGTCAGCATCTACATGTGTATTGCTGTGCATTAAATAATACCACCATAGGATAGTACTTATGTCTTCAAGTACTAGCCTATGACAGCATTTATTAGTTTACTGGTGCCTAACAGGGCCTCATGCCCCCCCCCCCATCTAGCACTTTTTTGGGCATATACAGTAGCACAGGCTGATTTTACTATATGATGGAAGAACTAAAGATTCAATCCAAATAATATCAAAATCATTTACATTTATTAGATTCATATCTGTTCCCATCCAAACCAGGTACCTGTCACCTTAAGGGCTCCTTGTATGGCTCTATACCTACCCTACACCTTGCCCGAAGCCTCACGGGTGTTCTCTCTTTGTGATGTTGCTGAGTTATGCGCTCACCCCCGCCTTGGGCCTTTTGACCCCCTTGTCCTTTACATGGTCCGTTCCTGGACTCTTGGACCTCTGGTCCTGCATGCCACCCCTTATCTGGGCTCCCAGACCCCTGGTCCTGCTTAGCCTTTCCGCAAGCACCAGGACCTTTTGTGGGCTCAAATAAAACAAAGGCCACTTGCCTGTAAAACCTAGTCCTTCTCTGTCCATGGGACTTGCCTCTGCTCCCAGGTCTGCAGAGTTAGTTATACAAATTCCAGTCCCTTCAGAAGCGCTGCTGCCCAGAGCTCCCTTGTGGCTACCAGGGAGAGACTGACTGACCAGCTCAGGCTTTGGACTTATAGCACTCCAGTCTGAGATCTTTTCCCCATCAGGTGAGCCTCTCGTTAGCCCCCTGCACCACCTGCAAGCAGCCTCTCAGACTACTAGCTCCCTTAAAAGAGCAGATGCAGCCCAGTGCCCTACTACAGAATGATCCACAATTTGGCAACAGTTAACAGAAAATCTCATATAGGATACATTCATTTATTATTTGATAACATACTGCGCTCTTTAAATTGTGCCAATATCTGCTAGTGTGCAAAGCAGTTGTGCCATGAGCAGTGCATACTTCATTCATGCACTTGGCTCATCAATGAAGCAATAATACTTATAGATGTTATGGCAATGATAAATGATTAATGTAAAATATATTCTGATCAAGTCTGACAAATAGTAGAATCTGGAGCATGTTCACATTAGTTATTGCTGTTTAAATGTAAGATAACCAGAATGTACCGTATTAATTCAAGGCAAAACAATTACAATACAGTTCAATTACAATAACCATAAGGGCCAGGTACAGATATTACACTTTACCCATGTAAGTGATAGGAAACTGATCTATAACTATAACAGAACAAAAGTTCGGCACACATAGACTGGTTTAAAAATGGCAGAACCTGGTCTAAGATTTATCCCCTCCCCTACCAAAAGGTGAATGTGTGCTCTGTTCATTCCAGATCTAAATTAACTATGCCGCTTACAGAAAACAGCATAACTTAGATTGATTCTGCCTCGGGCTTTTTGAAAGCCTGTACCTAGCCAAGCAGTCTACCATAAAGCAACAGGATATTCTGAATTAAGGCCAAAACTATGTAAACATCTCATTCACATTGAACACAAAACTCCAGAATTGTTCCGATGACTGATATAACAGAATAATGGATGTTTAGTATTTTTATTTCATAACAACGTGTAATTTAACATATCTTTCTGAGAGTTTGTACTTTGTTTTCAGTCATATGAATTCACTTTCTTTGTCCTTTTCCTTTCGCAGAACATTTACACAGTTAGCTTCCCCAAACCAGGTTTCATAGAACTGCAGCCTGCCTCGTTTGATATGGGTACAGAAATCAACCTGTCCTTCAGCACCAAGAATGAGTCTGGGGTCATCTTGTTTGGTATGGGTGGGACACCCATACCTCCAAGGAGAAAACGCAGACAGACTGGGCAGGTACAGAACAATGCAGGAGAAGATACGGGAAACCTGTTGCTTCTGCTGGGTTTTTCCACACAACTTGTTGTTTCTATCCATTCCATTTACTGGGAGTATGTATGAATCATAGGATCTAACAAATTAGGGACCTCAGGAGATCATCTACTCCAGCCCTCTGCTCAAAGCAGGACCATCCACAACCAGATCATTCCAGCCAAGGCCTTGGTGAACCAGGCCTTAGAAACCTCCAAGGATGGAAATTCCACCACATTTCTCGGTAACCCATTCCAGTGCTTTACTACCCTCCGAGTGAAAAAGTTTTTCCTAATATCCAATCTAAACCTCCCCTGCTGCAACTTAAGAGCATTGCTCCTTGTTCTGTCATCGGCCAGCACTGAGAACAGACCAGCTCCATGCTCTTTGGAACCGCCCTTCAGGGAGTTAAAGGCTACCAAATCCCCCCTCAGTCTTCTTTTCTGCAGACTAAAGCCCAGTTCCCTCAGCCTCTTCTCTTATGTCATGTTCCTCAGTCCTCTAAGCATTGCCTTCTGCTGGACTCTCTCCAGTTTTCCCACATCCTTTTCAGAGTGGGGGGCCCAAAACTGGACACAGCACTCCAAATGTGGTTTTACCAGTGCAGAATAGAGGGGAATAATTACTTCCCTCAATCTGCTGACAATGCTGAAGTGAAAGTCTAGTGCTTTTTAATAAGGCTTACCCATGTCTGAGGGAAAAAATAAGATGAAAGTTCAGCAATATTTGCATCAACAATTAACTGAATTAGGGACTGTAACTTTATTTGAAGCCTTCATAATTCTAGCAGTTCATAATTTCATTTCTTGGGTCAGGCTACACAATGTACCAACACTGAGCAGAGCTGGAAGGTTTTGGTGTAATGGCAGGACAATTTTTGTAGTCCTGTTGTGAATTTCTCTCAATAATTTCTCCAACAGCATCTACTTTTTAGCTTCTATACCAGCTGGTTTATTTTTGTGAACTATATTTGTTTCCATTCTTTTTCTCAGACCTGAATAATGAAGTGTTACTATTTGGGTCTCCTCAGGACTACTCAGGCAATGGTTATTTGGTGGAGGGGGAAGAATTAAATAGATATTCAGGCATCACTTATCCGCAACTAAACACCTTATCAGTAAGCCTCATTTTGCTTTTTTTGGAAACTAAAAACTTCACATAGACTTCAATGCAGTGTAAGGCCCTTAAATATTAATACAGTGTTTGGAGCCACTACTGGAAGATACAGGATGAAGACAGGGTAGAGTGCACCTGATAGACTAACTAAATCACTGGGTCATATTTGTTTTTAATGTAAACCATTTATATCCTGCCCCAACTTTTTAAAAAAAATAAAGAAATCAATAAATAAGGGTGATCTTAACAATTCTTTCAAAAGTAGAGGAAATAAGTGAAAGTGTGGATATTGTTGGGAATTAACTAAATGTTGATAATGCAGAAACTACATAAGTAGATAAGGGCAAAGTTAAATACAGTCTTTTTTGTTTTATTTGTACAGTATGTTTCAGGAATTATTTTTCATTGTTCTCTCCCATATCTGTATTGGGACAGAACACTTGAACTTAAAAGAATATACTCCAGGGACAATACATTTTAGTGGCTGATCCACATGATATTAACTTCAGGATGGGAGCTACTTGCACCACTACCAAGCTCTTCAGGTCACAGATATGAACTGGTTGCTATGGTAACTGTGGGATGGATCCTGCAAATCCTCCATGACATGATACTGGTTGCCAGAGTAACTGCAGGCATCGTTTTGCAAAGCTTCCATACACAGAACTCATGCACGGATTAGTAATTCTGTGGAGGGAAGGCTTAGGATCAAGTCATGTAATACTAAAAAGCAGAGAAATCTTAGGGCTGAGATTTTCCTTTTTTCTCTCTATGGACATGAAAAGGGGGAAAATATTTTAATGGGATTATTTCCAGCTATTGCAGTGTAACTTCTCTTTATATTTTCCTTGTTATAAAGCTGCATGACAGTTCTTGCTTAGTCAATCTGAATGTACCAAAGCAAAACTGAAACTTCTCTTTCTCGACTTGGGTTGGAAAGATTATTTTTAGTAAATGGTTATTCACAGGGCACTTCCAGCTCTTTGTGGTTGGTTTTTAAATCCTCGTGCCAATCCATTTGCTTCCACATTTTCTCAGCTTTCATTGAAATTTCCCAAACAATACAGCTCATTTAATTTGTTCCCCTGCTAACAAAAAAACCCCCAGATTTTTATTTTTAGTTCAGCCACCAACCAAAATAATGGTTTTTCTCACACTTCAATCCAGACTCCCTCTAGGACTCTAACAACAATCCAGGCTGCCACTGTAGAAGCCAGGATTTAAGTACATTCATAGACTATAGTCATTCTCATTTACACAAGTATACATCCAAAGTAACTTCTTTGGTTTCAGAGATGCTACTTCTGATTCATCTCAATGTATGATGGCAGCATTTGACACATCATCTTCAGTGGTTAAAGTTCTAAGTGCAGTTTCAACAGGTTACTGAGGGGTTTTTTGTTGTTTTGCTTTGGTTTGGTTTGGGTTTTTTTTCAGTGGAGAGAGGGCAGTTAATAGCTTAAGTAGAGCAATGGCTTGTCTCTGTGTCCCCAACAGGGTTCTGGAGGAATCTGCAGGGAAATTATTTCCTGGACTCAGGAGCAACAGGTGTAACAAAAGGAGAATGGATAGGCTTTATTGGGTTCCTAGGCAAATGCAAAACTATCCTTCCAAATGTGACAAGTTTTTATTACACATTACAGGCCTATTATGCAGTGTTCCTGAACAAAGGTCGACTAGAAGTACACATCTCTACTGGAGCTAGAGATCCTCGCAGAATCACCATCAGACCCGAATCTGGCAAGTTTCATGATGGCAGAGCACACTCCATCCGGATAGAAAGAACTGAAGGGTAACACAAACAAGAACCCAAGGGGGCTACAGAATATGCACCGTGGAGTTAATGCAACCAATAGAAGACATGCATGATTGAAATCAGTGCTCACATTTCTGAGCACAGGGGTATATATAATCAGGGGCGGAGGGAAGGGGGTTCTCTTACCAAACAAGTCACTTTCTGGCTCCTAATTTTATTATTGTGTAGGCCTGGGAGGTTATCAGGTAGCTTCTCTGAGGATCTTATCTAAATTGCCATATATTAAAGTTTTTGATTCTAGGGAAATCTACTTTATTAATCTAGATTCTGAAGAGGAATAGAGTTTAGGAAGAGTAAGTCCATCTTTTCAGGAGTAACACAGAAATGCAGCTTTCACAATCAGCAACAGCAGCATGTAACCTTTCCCACATACCATGGGCTAGTTTGTATACATGTGGGGTGTCCAATTGATCAAGCTAAGAAAAGGAAGACACAGCACTGGATGTACTCTAATTAGGCTTGCTGACATTTCTATTGCACTCATCCTTGAGTAGAACTTCACTAGTTTACTTTTCTTGCCACATTTTCAGACACCTATAATTATCTGTCAAAGGACTGCACTTTGTCCTTAATTAAGGATACTGTGCTAGATACAATAAACCACACTATCATCTTGATACATGAGGATTATGCAGTTATTATTATTTATGGTCTGGCATTTTCTAGGGAATCCAGAGAGAATCAAGGCCCAGCTGAGACTATATCAAACTAGCATATAGTGGATGTGTGCACTCTAGGAAGATGCATAAAAGCATACTTATAAAATGTTAGTGCTACGACTGACATTATCATGTTCTAAACCATAGTGCAAATGAGCCAGGTTCAAACATACTAACTGGTCTCAGTAAATCCTAGGATTCACCACGATCAGGTAAAATTCAGAAGAAATACAGTTAGGAATATGATAACAATATAATACTATAATCTATACTTTACATAGTATATAATTATAATAGAGCATAAGAGCATAATCTGAAATTTATATATGATTTTTGGCATTTTTCCTGACTTTCTAGAACAAACTTCTGTTCCATCTAGTCACCACTTGCCCTCCCTTTCCTCCTTCTCAAAACTCACTTTTCTTGGCTTTGCCTTTTATCACTGAATTTTCCACTCAGCTACTCTCCTCCCCTCATATGTAATCCGTAAATATGACCTTACAGTAATTTTCTTTCTAGCTGTAGTATCTGATATTAATAGGGGTTTTCCCTTGTTTTAAGATAGGGGGAGAGTTATTTGAAAAAAAGTCTCAAGTATTCCTATAATAGAATATATCATAAGGTAATGGTGATAAAATCTACTGAATATAAAACTAACACCTTTTAACATAACAACAGAAAAAAACTGCTGTACAGCCAATATAACCATAATCCATTACACTAAATCAAAACATAGCTGCTCAACAGATGATGGTGAGAAAGAAACTTCTCCAGTCTTCAAAGTTGCTCTGTTACAAAACAAATCAGCTAAAGACTCTGCAGTTTATGTAGGCTGGGATGGAAATGAAAAGATATAAATTATTAAACCTAAACCCCTCATCTGCTAGTCATCAACTCTGGCTTTATTTGATTAAATATGGGGAATGTCATTTGAAAACTCTTCAGACAGCTAATTGTCCATATAATTATAAACTAATTGCTTCTCATTCCAGGATAATTATAGGATAGTGTGGAGAACTAATGCATATCATTGTATGGTGGTACTGAGTGCCAAAGTATGTAAATGTTTTCTGTGGTAACATTGAAGATGGGATGAAGTATTGTATATTGTTGAGGGTGTCAGCAACAGCAACAGACAGTATAAGGAGTTGCTGCGCTACAGGGGGATATAAGAATGGCTATTGCATATCATGTATATCAAGACAAAAAGGAGCTACCTGAAATTTGGGGATTAGATATTCTGAATACAATAAGTTTAATTTTTAATTGAGCTCCCTACATGCAGATGTGAGTTTCTCCCAATGGACATCCACATAATATGAAGTTGGATGTCTTACTTTAAAAACTGACCTCCCCTTCCATGTATTTTTTATAATAATTTATGTTCTAGAATATATAGGATTTACTGCTTAAAGAAAAGGTAGAATTGCAATACAACTAAAACACTGGAAAAAAATTAGACTGATTTGAGGGTGCTCAGCAGTTCTGAGAAATCAAGCTGCTTGTTTTAGGTACCAAACATGGATTTAGATGCCTAACACTAGACACTGAGAATTTAACATCTGTGAAATAACAGTGTACTTGATAAGGTACAGTCCTCCAAAGTTTTCCTCCCCTTGCTTTTCCTTTGAAGTCCTAACTCTCTCGTGGCTAATTTTTATTAAATCCAGTGTAACAGTGTAAAGAAATTGCACCAAATTGCATTCTACTCTCACCTCCAAACAGACTGAAATCCTGAGCCATCCTTTGGGAAGCGTGTTACATTGAGGTGGACTGTGTCAATAGCTACAGACTTTGTTTTATCATCCATCTTCAGATTGTCCCAAAGACAGCAGTTAAATTGCTGACTCTCTTATTGTTATACCTTGTTACATTATATATGTTATCCATCAAAAAGAACCCGTTCTCTCTTCACTTCTCTATTCGCTGTATTGGCACCTCATTCTTCGTATGCAAAATAAAAAGTCCACACAAGCTAGTTCTTATGTCTAAATGTTGAAAATCTTTCCATGTCACTCATTATGTTTTGACATGCCCAAGTGCTGTGTTTGTTACACTGATGTTTAGGCTCTCTTTTCAAGAGCTCTGCTCTCACATTTAGCTTCACGCTTCCTCCAAAAGAGCACATTCACTATATTTTCCCTCTTCACACTTTGTCCCATTTTTGACTTTGCACCTCAGGAACATACAAAAATTAATTTTTTACCTTACTTTTCAGAATATTAATAATCTTTACTAAAGGAGCACTTTGGTTTCTAAATTGTAATATATCCATTTGCCTGTGGGAAAGTTTTATAGAACTTGCATCTTCATGGTGAACAATCACAATGGTTTTCTCCCTTACTCCCCTTCCCACAAAACAGACTAACCATATCTTTTTTAAATGCACATTACTTATCTGTTGTTGATTCTTGCAATCAGAGCTCTCTGGAGCACCGTTTTGTCCCCCAGCAAGAAGATAATAACTAGTACAAACGAGGATATAAAAAGCCAAACAAAATGTGACCTCATGCTGTTATATCCCACTGTGTCCTATATGATTATACATAACTTTACAGGACAGCGAGTTGACTCTTGCCATGACAATGCTGTCATGCTGCAGACCACTATTTTCAATGCAACCAGAGGCTAATATTACTGCAAATGTACTGTCTGGCTTTGCCAAGCTCTGACGGAGAATAAATGAGGGAAGCATAACAGTGACTGTGAACCTGATAGTGGTTAATATTTGCTTAATGTGGTGCTGCTAATCATGCAATTTGTGTTCACTCGGTGTTCTAGCAGGTGCAGTAGTAAATGGTGCCTGCAAAATGGTGATTTCAATACACGCAATAACTGGGATAGATACTATCTTATTCCTTTGCTTTGAATCTTTTCATAGGATTTTTGCTGTTCAAGTAGATGAAGACAAAGGGCAGACTCAGAGGCTTCCTACAGACCAATCTATTACTGTTAAAAACCTCTTTGTGGGTGGGACCCCGCCTCACTTCCAGGCAGCGCCTCTCAGGAACATCCCTCCCTTCGAGGGTTGCATATGGAATCTCGTCATTAACACTGTGTAAGTCTTGTTAATGTTCACAAATGTTTAGTTAATGAAGCTATTACCACCTCAGCTGCCAAGAGAGAATTTGTTGTCATAAGCAATCATGCACAATGATACCTATAATGACCTCTCTCTGCTTTTTATATGCTAGTGTTCTTTTGCTTTTTTGTGGTCCTCAGTGTGCACTTGATGGGTGTATATGTGTGAATTAGCAGTGCTTTGTTGTGTGCAAAAACATGACCCATCCGTAGACATCTAAAGTGCCACAAAATTCTACAGTTAAAAACACAGTGGCTTATCCCTAATAACTTTCCTACTGTGCACCACTACTTTGGTACACTGATTTTTTTAAAAAGAAAGGTACTGTTCAAGACTGTGGGTTATGGAAATGGGCATACTTAATGTGTGGCTTAATTTTACCATAGGAAACATTATACACCAACAGGTTAATGATCTGGAGGTTGGACAGAAGAAAGGGAATGGTGGGAAGGTGGTGACTGAAGTGGAACTTGTACGAAACACAGCATATTGAGAAAACTTCAAAGCAACAAACCCAGTGTTTGAGCATGACCACACTCAAAGTAGTTGGTGTGGAGGTGATGGGAAGAGATAAAAGAACTGTTAAGAGCTGTTGATGTTATTGTGTCTCCTTAGCCCCATGGATTTCGCTCAGCCTGTGTCCTTTGAAAATGCAGACATTGGTCAGTGTCCCACACTAGAACCAGAAGCCAGACCTCCTGAGGAAGAGGGGGAAGATGGGGGTACTCGCTCAACTGTTTTGATTCAACCTGAACCAGATACTAAGAGGAAGACAGAAAGCACAACAATTCATCCCACATTTTCTTCCTCTCCTCCTCCTCCTCCAACGCCACCTCTACCTCCTGCACTTGTAAGTGTATACTGCTTCTCTAAGAAGCCATGTTAGAAGAGAGATCTCTTAAATGTAAAAAGGAGAAGGGTCAATAGTGGCACTTCAAAAGTGTGATGATAGACAAATTAGGACTACCTGGCATGACTAGAAAGATTTTAAGCAGATGAGATGTTTACACAATTACCGTGTTCTGAACATCATGCAAATGACGTCTGTAGCTTAATGTGATTGAAGCAGGTTATCTGGTAAAGCTCAGAACAAGTCTGGATCGTTCATTTTGTTACTTTTATTCAGGGAAAAATGTTTAATGCATGATAATCCTTGCATGCTAAGATGTCCTGAGTGATATGACTCCCTTACACGTTTCCCCTTTCCCAGAACCTCACCTCCTCGATCTCACCTCCCCAAAGCTTCAGAAAGCATACATAACAATGTCAACTTGATTTTTCCCTCTCCTTCTGAACTGCAAAGTATCTTAAAAGGATACTGTATGATTAAAAGACCTTCTATAAAAAATGTATGTGATGCTTTCCATGTGACAGTATAGTGTTTTGCACCCATGTGCTTGTATATATCTTCACTCTATGTACGCATGTGCGTGTGTGTAAACTGTCCCTATTTTCTATAATCTGTACTTATGGATAATCATGTGCTGTTTCAATCCTTTGGGGAAAAAAAGTATTTTCATAGAAATAAGCTTGAAGATAGGATATTGTATACAAGTTTTATAAATGATGCTACAGATGATAGAGAATTACAGAAGACTGTTGAATTTTATGTCAGCACCAGGTAAATTAATTCAAATAAAAAAATAAAGCCAAGTTTGCAAAACAAATTACAGTAATGAGAGCTATTAGTTGGTGAGCACTTTTGAAAATATGGCCATTTCAATATAGTATCTGAATAAGAGCTCAAGTGTCTTGAAAACCTGGCCAGAAGAAAAAAATGAAATACCTAGTTGGACTTTATAAACTAGAATAAGTCAGCACTGGATTTATAAGGGAAATCCATGCCTCTCCAATCTGAATCTGCTAATTTTTTTTAAACTAGCAGATACAATAAAATTTGTTGAAAAAAGACTCAACTTGTTATAAATCTTGAACAGAATTCATTATGAGAGTATATTAAAGAAATTAAGTAGTCATAGGTTGAGAATTAAAAGTGAAATTTTCACAAGTGCCTAAATGATTTAAGGTAAAAAGTTCCATTTACTTCCATGACTAACTCTAAATCTTCAGAATATAAACCAGTTATTAACCGATTGGATTAGAAAGAAAATTTCCCTAAAGGAAATATATTTCAGGATGGTGTTTTTTGTACTGTCCTCTGAAGTATCTGATAATGGTCACTATCATAGATAGAATCCTGAACAGGCAGACAAGAGGTCTGATCTGATATGATGATTCTTATGCTGTTGTTTTATAACAGTGATTCTCAACCAGGTTGCCATGACCGAGGGTTGCTGCACAACTCTTAGGTGTGCAAACACTTACATGATTCACAAGATAAATCCATAGATTTTAATTAGGAATCCATAGTGTGAAAAAAATTCTGACCTGCTGTGATCTGAGTTCTTTGCAACAGAAGAATTGCCTTATTATTTTTCTTTTGTCAAAAAATGAGTGAAAGCTAAGACTTGGCATTTTCCAAGAGCACTATTGTATCATAATTAGGAACCTACTCAATTCAAGATTTCATGGAAATCACAAAATCGGGCATTGTCCATGAAAATGAGCAAGGTCTGCAAAATCCACAAAATAAAAACTTACTAAAGATAAAATATTGGTCCTCAGTGTGAGCCAGTAGTCCTCATAGTTGCTGCAGCCAAGCCATGTGACCTATGGGTGGCGGGAAGGCCACCAACATGAATGGGAGCAGCCAAGGTGGTGGCTGCCCCTCACCACTGATTGACTGAGAGTGTTGTCTGTCATATGGCCCCACCCCTTTCCACCAATCAACAGTAAGCGGCAGGGCTGTATAATGGACAGACCTTTTGGTCAATCAGTAATGAGTGGTGGGGTTGCATGACAGACAGCCCCCTTGATCAATCAGTGGTGAGGGGTGGGGCCACTGGGGCCCTCAGCAAATCAGAGACATGGGGGGTCCGGCTGTGATAAGCCCACAAAAACGATGGCTTGCCTTGCTATCTGCCCATCAAATCTGCTGCTTGCCTCCTTGACTTCAGTAGTTCCCTAATTATAACTCTAGCCAAGAGACTGATGAATCAGAAGCTCTGAACTCCTGACAATGCAAACTGGTTTCACAGTATTGTTGGCAAAAATTTTGAAAAGCTGTATACCAACCAAAGACCTCAGACAAGTAAACTGAAAAGGAAGTAGCTCGTCTAGCAGTACTTAAAAGTTGGTCCTACGTTTTCCAAAGATTGAGTGCTTGAGATATTAAACTAAATAACAAACACATAAAAAAGTATTGTGAAAAAGAACCATTTTGGTTTGCCAATCTATAATCCAGAATTTTAACATAACTATCTGGCTGTCATGTGCATACATTAATGACTGTATGTTTCTGCACTGCATCTTGAGATATAGTCATGTGATTCCACTGGTGTTAAAAATTACCAAGTAAATTAATACATGTTTTAATAAGTATTTTAATAGTTTAATATTATAAAGTTATAGCACTTAGTTAAATTATAATTGTACTGTGCAATACATAATGATATATGATTATATGTTATAATATTCCCATATTATTAGGGATTAAAATATTTAATGGGCAGTATATTTTTTAATTAAATTGGATTTCATAAAGTGAATAGCCTGGGCACTTAATTTCAACACATCAGGTGGGTATAAGCCCTCAGTAGTTTTGTCAGTTTCCCCTATATCACCTTGCTGATTTCTTTCTTTAGAAGTAATTACAGAGGCCATGTCCAGATGAGCAGAGGCACGTGGTGTGTGGCACCACAAACTGCACGTGGCCTAAATTAAAGTTAAACATTAAAATGTACCCCATGCTGCAAATTTGCAGAATTGCTACTGGGAAATCCTGGTAGCAAAAAAAGTACCAGGAAAAACCATGGTGCAGCATATGCAACAGGAGCTTGCACCTGAAGACACAGAGGCTTAGTCCTCCAGGAAGAGTCCTCCAGGAAGGTGCTCTGACTGCCAGCCAGAGCATCTCTACTCTTTCGGTTGCCCGGCTTGTCCAGCACACCGGGAGCCAAGAGGAGCTGGGCATGGGCAGGTTGCCCAAAGCAGGATCATTTGTCCCTCCACAAAGGACACATATAAGTGTGTGTGCCACAGCAAAAAGTAGTGGCACAAATTTGTGCTGCTACTGTTTTTGCTGCTGCAAATGCATGCCCCTGCACATCTGGATGTGGCTAGGTCTATTTTAATCCCCACTCCTATTCACTCCCTGTCTCTGCTGAGACTGCTGAAAAGGACAATAATTGTGTCAGTAATTTTTTTTGATGTAAGTCTCAGTCTACTAGCAGTTCAGCTAAGGACCTTCTTACACCTTACACTGTGAGCTGCACAAATATTGATTGGCTTAGTGCTAGCTTGCGGTCACATCTTTGACTTGAGTGGCACATCTTTGGGGAGTGTAGACACACCTTAATCAAACAGGAGATGGTTTATGTGGATCAAGAGATAATCCTGCTCTAGAGTGGCGTAACTTTGAGCTGCATAATGAGTGCTGTAAGCCACTTAAAGGTGTTAATGCACGGACAATCCAGGGGACACCCAAAAATAATGTGTAACAAAGCCCTGTGATTAACTTATTTTACTTGAGTCACACCTAAATCATTGGTAGGTTGCTTTTTAAAATACTATAGAAATGGTGTCTCATATCAGTACGAGGAGCTGGGTTGGGGCCCTAACAAAAATCAGACCAATAAAGTGCATCTTACAATTTCCTATTCAACATGTATGGCTTGTTAGTCACTGGGTATGTATAACGTGCCATTATATTACCCAGAAAAATAGAGTAGTCATGCACTACTGCACACGCTAAAACATATATACCAGCATTTCCAGAAACAGAAGAAAGTTCAGTTACATGTAATTATTTACTTAAACATGCTTAATTTTAGATACGAGTCTGCTATAACTGCAATTTCTTCATAACTAGAGTCTTGCCTGTATAGTCTAAGGCAGCACTTTTGATTAATATCCACAAGGTGGCGAGATTGTAGCATGAGGAAGCTGATACATATTTCTGTTTTCACAGGAAAGGAATACTGCAGTTCAGTAACATTAGGGCTGTGCTGCAAAATTAGAGAAAACTCCAAGATAAAGATGATAATGCAGGCTTAATTGACACTTTTGTAAAAGAGGAAACATTTGGCTATCAGAAGCTTCTTGTTTAAAACGAGGTATATTGAATGTTCTTGCTTTGGCTATCTTCTGCCCAAACTTCTTATAAATGGGAAGTTTTTTCCAGAATTTGAGCACATGTGAATTTATACCAATCATTTTTTTTTCAACGGCAAAATTAAAAGGAGCAAGAAAGTTGTTACATATTTAATGCTAGGAATTGTTGTGGCTTTCCATGTAATTTAATGGGGATTTTATTCATCAGACACCTGGTGCTGTGGTGAATTATGCTCTTGGTATATATTACTCAAGAGGAAAGTCTGAAGAGAAAAGTGTGAAAAATACATGCCAGTGCCTTTGATTTCATTTTTGAAAAATAAACGGTTCTTAAACTGTCAAAGGCACTTAAATCATTTAAACTTTCTATATTTTTTTAGATTTCCCCAAGTGCTGCCCAATATTTTTAAGGGAGGCTGCAATGAAGAGCACACCTATAATTCCATCATTCATTATATAGTAGTTACTTGCCTTAAACCCTTTCTAAAATGATCAGATGGTCTAGTCCCCTTGACATGGAAATGCACCTTCATAAAGGAGGCCCAAACGTGGCCTCTGCTTACATGCAAGTCCCATTAGGCTTTGCTGCTCTACCCAGGGGGATGAACTCTTAATTAAGAAGCTGTCCTCTAAAAACAAAATGAAAGGAAAAAATGGAAGACATGGTAGTAGGATACTTTACAGTGATCACCTGGTTGTGGCTGCCTGCTGCTAGGAAAGCTCAAATGTGTCTCACCTGCAAAACAGAGCCTTGGTAACTTCTGCTTCTGCCTCACATTATTTACTGCTTCTCAGGACTCACTTGCCACTGAAGTGAAGAGCGCCAGCATTACAACTGAACTTGACATCATCACGGTATATTCCAGCATTTTCCTAAGCATTCCCCAGTTCTTTTCTTTAACACTGTTGGGTGAGCTGTGGTGGTATTTCAGTGACACTCCCTTCTGCCCTTGCTAATTTTGTGAGTGCTAATATAGCATCATTTGTAAAGGAATGTGAGAAATAGTCATACAGGGAGCTTCCTGTTTTCTCAGACAGCTCCAATAAGATGATAAGTTTCCTGTAATATATACAACATGTGCTTTTCGCTGATCTCTTTCCTATCATCTGAAAAATATTAGAATTTAAATGTAATTAATAAAAAAGGGCCTTAAGGTTGAGATTTTACTATGTGCAGAGAGATGTTAGGCTGCAAGGTGCAAATCTGCCCTTCCTTTTATTTTATTATGTGGTCAGCTTTAAATGTCGGACACCTTACAGTTACAATTTAAAAAAAAAAAAAACAGGAAAAATCCAAATGAAGTTTATAATCCGAGTTTAACTCATGGTTTTAAAAGTGCTAAAGTGGCCTCTGTTTAAGTGGAAGTAAAGATAGGCTTGTAAATGAAGCCTAGATTTGCTTTAACATTTCCCTGTGGGTATTCTTCTTTATTGACACTTCCACATCAATACAATTCACTTCTTTTACAATTTGTTTTTTAAGGGCTGTAAGTGTCAAATAATGAAATGAGGATAAAATAAATGTTTGGGTATGTTAAAATGCCAGATCCCCGGTGTATCTGGCACCTACCACTGATTCCTAAGTCCTGTGCCCTGGTACCCACGCACCAATGTTTTTTGCTACGAGCAAGTTACCAAGGCAGTTAAGTAATATTAGTCATCTGATACTTGGGGCAAAACTCTTTCCTGACTGAAACCAGGGGAAGACAGAATTAGACAACACAGAACAGGTGTTGTCATAGTAAGGCCACATCCTTCACCCATGTGTCAAAATTAAACTTTAAATTATCACCCCAAATCTAAACATCTGCTGGCTGTTCATATCTACAGTACGGTTACCAGTATAAAAAGTAACATATAGTTGTTAAGCTACCGAGCTAAGCAAGTAACTCTTAACACAGCTGTGAGCCATTAGCCAGCATTATGGGGCTATGATCCAGTGATACCACCCTTATCCATTTAATAATCAGTGGAAGACTATTATCACACATTCCTAACTCAGTTCTTTTGTATTGTTGAAGAACCTCTTCCTCCTATTTTCCTTTTAATTGCACATTGGTGTGTACTTGTCACAGTGCATGTTCTTCTACTGTACAGGAAGGCCTGTAATATTCAGAGCTGAGCATTTATTGTGGAAACCATTTATTAAAAAGTTCTCTTCTTGTGACCTGTGAGAGATAAATATGACATTACTGAAGGATGGAAAGAGAGAGAAAAGACTTTCCTCTTTGCAGTAGAAATTTCCTGTTGCCTGATGAATCACTTACAATATCTTGAAAATACTCCACAGAAAAAACTCTTTTTGCAACAAAGCACAACACTTTGCACTCTGCAGGCCCCTACCGAATCAGAAGCTCATGCAGAGGCTGTAAGCAATCCAGGACTGTCTACCACAATGCTTAAAAATAGAGCTTGCAGCTATCAAAGTTTGTTTTTTCCCTGCAGTATTGTTGTCCTGAGATTGTACTGTGTTAGATCCTCTGAGCATCTTCTTCAGTGTACTCGAGGGAAGCTGAAAACAGGATGTGATTTGGACATAATAATTATTGAGATCTCTCATGGGCCATGGCACTGATAGACTGTAGCTGGAGGGTCAAGGATTAAAGGGTCACAGTCAAAAACAAGTCACACTTCTGTATGAAAATGTTTTACCTGCTGCTGTTACAAAGCACACCTAAGATTAATGTGACTGGAAGAGACTGAGGAGGACATTTTTCTTTGTTCAATTTATGATGTTTGCCTAATTGACAGCTTAAAGAGAATAATACCTGTTTCTCCTATGTATCAGGTAGTCAAACTCCCCTGTTCTTTGTGAGGGCCTGGAAAACAGCAGTAGAGGAGGGTAAAATGTTTTAAAAGAAACTGTTTTTCAAACAAATAGAAGTAGGTAAGAGGACTCAATGACATATACCATCCAAACACATTTTTTATCTCTTTTATTTTTAAATTGACCAGGTATCAAGTTGACAGTGTCCCTTTATTGTCATGTCCAGATGTGCATGGATGTTTGGTTTCCCAGGGACAAATATCGATGGCACACCTTGCACCACCGTTACTTGTCCTGGGAGAACGCCCATGCTATGTGCGCTTTGGTGCACAGCAAGTTGCCCCGGGTGGGGTAGGGGAGGCTGGGGCCAGTACTGGGCTGGCTCCAGCAGCCTTACCTGGAGTCCTAGGGGCCTCCCGGGGCTTCAGCCATGGTGATTCTGCCATGCGCAGTTTGGCAGGCAGTGGAGTGCAGCTCCAGGCAGCCCTGCTCTGCTTTTCAGCAGCAAACTCTGGCCGAGCATGCATTGCTCTGATTTTTTACCCCTGGATATCCAAGGGTAAAAAAAAACCCATCACAGCGCACACTTGGGCAGCATGCTCTTGCAGCCTGGAGAACGCCGAACTGTGAGGTAACTGGCTCCACAAACCTATTTGCAGCGCCATGTACCACACAACCGTGCTTGTCTGGACGTGCCCCTGTGAGTTCAGTCCTGCTCAGGTTCTATAGCAGAGTAAAGTACAAGTACCAATAAACTACATGAGTTAAGAATGAATAACAGGAGGAGCACAACTTATTACCAGTGCTTGCTTCTAATGAATCTGACTCACACTGCCTAGTAACTATATTTAATGTGGAAAAAACACGATTTCCTGGGAAACTGCAGGGTCAGCATATGTAATAGCGAGAGTACTCAAAACTGCTCTTGGGGAGTTGAAATAACTGTGGTGAATGCACAGCTGAGATACAGAATGAGAAATTCTACATGCAATATTCATGTTTTGCAGGATTCTTGTGCTGCTGATGTCGAGCCTGCTGTGATGGAAGGCGGCAAACAGTTTGGTCTTTCAAGGAACAGCCATATTGCAGCTGCATTTGATGACACCAAAGTGAAGAACAGGTGATGAAGTGATAAAAGTGGGGCAGATGGTTTGCACATGCAACAGTATAGGTCATGTTCTTTAACCTTTGAAACTGTAGGTACAGTCTTGAGAGCGTC